ATCTATTTCATTAAATGAACTAATACACATAACAAGCTTAGCACTACGCCTGGTACAAAGTAAGAATGAGCTAAATGCTAGTTTCTGTGACAGTTATTAAAATAATTAAAGAATTCTTATTGCTTCATCTGTCAAGAGCCTTGCCCAGCCCTGAGGACCGTGGAGATGCTTAAGAAATGTTCACTGCTCTGGCTGTGCACAATGGCTCATGCCTGTAATCCTAGCACTTTGGGAGACCGAGGTGGGTGGACCACCTGAGCTCAGGAGTTCGAGGCCAGCCACCCGGCAACATGGTGAAACCCCATCCCCTACTAAAATACCAAATTACCCAGTATGGTGGTGCGCCTGTAATCCCAGCTACTTGGGAGGCTGAGGTGGAAGAATCATGAACCAGCCTGGGCAACAAAGAACTCTGTCAAGAAAGAAAGAGAAAGAGAGAGAGGAAGGAAGGAAGGAAGGAAGGAAGGAAGGAAGGAAGGAAGGAAGGAAGGGAAGGAAGGAAGAAGGAAGGGAGAGGGAGGGAGGGAGGGAGGAGGGAGGGAGGGAGGGAGGGAGGGAGGGAGGAAATGTTCACTGCTCTTATAGGCCTCCTTCCTTTCCCTCCCTGCTCTTGCTCTCGCTTACCTGAATGGGTGTGTATTACCATTTTACAACTTCAGCAACTGGGGGCCCAGAAGGGTCCAGTGACCTCCCAGCCCACTGGAAGAAAGGCATGCAGGGGAGGACAACTCAATGCCTGGCCTCAATTTCCCAGGAGTCAGTGCTTCCTTCATGGTACCAGAGGCTTCTCAGGAGAATGAAGCCCCAGGCCAGAAGCCACAATCCCAGAACCATCTTGGTTTCCACACTGTGGAGGAGTCCCATTTCAGGCAGGCTGATCTGCCTTTCCCATTCAAGGACCATTTCAGTCAGGCTGAGCTAGCTCAGAGCTGCAACCCCGCGCTGGATTAGGCGAGGGGTGAGAATACATTTACCCAGAAGACTGTTGCCCAGAGGAGGAAGGGGCTCCTCCAGACCAGTGCCTCTAAATAAATTCCATGGTGGTGAGAGGACCATGGTGGGTCAAACCTTATTTTTTAATATTAAACATCTGTGTTTCTTTTTCCCCCAACTCATGAGCAGTGCTATTTCTTCATGCCACCTACGAGGAAGGCAGGTGTTTAGGGCAGAGAAGCAAACAGGGCAGGCCTTCTGTGACTTGTGTGTGCTCTTGAAAGACACGTCTTTGGGAAACATGTGTGTGTACCTACCTGTTTAACCTCCCTCTCAGAAACTTTGATTCTCTTTACCATGACTTACATTTTATGAAGCATCTGTTAACACAGAAGTAAAGAGATGATAGCATCTTAAATTACATCTTTTTGTTTATTCCCTTTTTATTACCAGACAGAAGTCCTTTAGCTTTGCCCCATAAAGGGAGGATCTCCTAGAAGACTCCCACCAGCCCATTCCTGAGCCCAGCCCTGGAGGCACGGAGAAGCATAGTGCGGGTTCTTGAGAGTGCCAGGGCAAGGGAGTGCACAGCGCAAACAACCTGAGTGTTCGGAAGGAAGGAAGGAAGGAAGGAAGGAAGGAAGGAAGGAAGGAAGGAAAGAAGGAGGGAAGGAGGGAGGGAGGGGAGGGAGGGGGGAAGTGAGGGAAGGGCAGAAGACGGGAGGAGAGGGAAGGGGAGGGCAGAATACCAAGGAACACTTTGAGATTCCCATCTCTTGCTTGGGGAACCCCTACAGTAGTCACATGTCCTGTTGGGGGCAGGGGGTGGATACCTGCTGAAGAGGGTGAAGGGTGGGGAAGAGGGGCTCTTCCTCACTGCACGTGCTGTAAGTTCCTGGGCTTCCCCTGGCTCCTGCCTGGCTCCCAGGCTGTGGTGTGGCAGGACTGAGCGCCGTGAGCAGTGCGTACTCTCAGTCACCTCTTCCCAAAAACTCATAACCAGGTGCAATCTACTGGTAGACCTTTGCAAGTCTTTTCATAGAAATAGTCCCAGACATGAGGAAAGAATGTTGGTTCGATTGTCCTGGGGGTTTGTTCCTCAAACAGAATCTCTGTAAATGGAGGTGGGGCCTCAGAGGCCCAGGCTGGGAGGTCACAAAAGGAAGAAAATAAAACTGGTGAGGTTCCAATTGCAATTCAAAAGCCAGGACATATCTAAAGATGTGCTCCTCATTCAGGCCATCTCAAGCCCCCCCAAAAAAGGGAAGGACAAGCAGCCCCAGGAGGCAGGGAAGTACCCTCCCCTGGGGCTCCAGGCCGCTCAGTCTCAGGGCCCACGAGTCCACTCCTGGGGCAGGACATCTGCCGAGGGCACCAGCTAAGGCCAGCTATGCTGGGCTTCAGTGTGGGGCCACACATCCCCACCAAGAGAGCGGATAAAGAGGGGACAGTGTGAGCCAGACTGAGAGAGAAAGACAGGTAGACAGACAGGGAGGGTGACAGCTAGCAATTATGGCAGCAAAAGCACAGGTGCCCAGAGGTGGGACACAGGGATCTGCCTGAAAGGGCCGCCTGGGAGCTTGAGGGTTCCAGCGACTCCAGGGGTCCCGAGCTGGGAATGAATCTGGCTGCTTGAGATACCCATATTTGTAAAGGCTGCCGGGTCAAATCCTGGTTGTCCAGATAAAACTATGGAAGGGGTTGGTGTGGGAAGGGCTGGAATTATGAACACCGGCCCCCATGGGGAGACGCAGGGCCAGCCAGGGCTTCCTGAGTGGTTTCATATGAGAAATGTGTCACCACACATACGATGTGAGTCTGTGAGACCATGAAGGTCATTAGGGCAAAGACATACAGACCCCACCTCCCAGAGTCCCAGCTGGGTGACCTCCTCACCCAGCTGGGAAAGACAGAGGGCAGGAGGCAGGAAGTGCCCTCAGGCCCCGGCTGGGTGTGGGGGAGGGAGGGTGGAGAGGAAACAGACGGTTCCTACCGTGGAACTTCCATCTCGACCCCCAAAATCCCCCTCTAGAGCAATTTCACCACATAAGTAAGCCCCATAGGATAAGCCTCAAGTTCAGAGCTCGAGCATTTTAGGGGCTCATTACCCTGAGGATGGCGACCATGCGGACACTGCGCTCTCCTGCAGTAACTCCTTTCATCTTCACAGTGGCCCATGAGTGAGTATTTCCACAGTCCCCACTTATCAACAAGAAGACTGAGGCGGAGGAGGCTAAGCAATGGGTGCACGATGACACAGCTGGTGGGTGGTAAGCCGGGGCTTCAACTCAGGGCTGTGTGATGCTCTTCACCACAATCTGTAGCCTCAGGTAAAGTCCCAGACTCTCCACAATGGGGAGGTTGGACTAGGCCCACACGGTGTCTAAGATATGTTAGATTTGAGGTGATTTCAGGGGAAGCCAAAAGCTTGGCTCTGTCGGGCCTCTCCACCCAACTTGTCCCTCTTTCCTCACCAGCCAGGCATCCAGCCTCCTACCAGCCCAAGACCCTGCTGCAATCAAAGGGCAGGTGGGACCTCCATGCTGCACTTCTGCCTTCCCTGGGTGAAGAGGAGGGCGTGGGGGTAGGACAGTGAGGGGTTTGAGATGGAGACGGGGCGCCTGCCCACTCTGCCCATCTACACCTCCAGACCGCCTGAATGCCAGGGGAAGTTCACCAAGAGTTTACAAACCTCCTTTGTCACTGAGCGCCGCGGGAGCCATCAATCACGCCCTAATTTACCAGTGTCACTTTCCAGAGGAAAGCTGCCCAGAGCCGCCAGTGGCGCTTCCTCTCTTGCCCACTTGATGAGGATTTTGTCTAATTGGTCCACGTTAAAGCACTCCCAGGAATGCAACGTGCAGTTACCGTGGCAGCGGCAGCAGGGAGCCCTGAGGAGGTGCCCTCCCTGGCATGAGCCTGGAGTCCGTGGAGGACCTCTGGGAAACCCGGAGAACCCACAGAGGGGCCTGCTGGAAAGGGGTCTGGAGAGGAATGTCAGGGATGGGGGAGGGGCAGGCTAGGAAGGAAGAAGGCAGTGCAAAGGATGGATGGAGAATGACAGGGTCTGCCCCCTGCCCTAGGCGGGGACAGGCATCTTGCCTCACAGACGTAGACTGGGTCTCACTCTCTGTTGCTCTCCCCGGAAGCCACGTGGGAACAGAGATCCAGAGGGCTGCACTAAGCCTTGCTCAGCACTGACCCCTGACTGGGAATGCCCGGAGCTTTGGCCATCTGGGGCCCTGTAGCTGCGCCCAACACCTTTCCTCCTGCACGCATTTCCCCAGCCCCACCAGGCTTCGTTCAAGCTGTTCTCTCCGCCTCGGATGCTGTTCCCTTCTTCATCTGCCTGGTGACCTGGTTGTCCTCCTGGTCCCAGCTGAAACATCACTGACACTAAGATGCCCTTTCAAACTCCCGTGGGAAGGAGGGTGAAATCTGTCTCTCTTCTACCTGGGCTTCCACTGTCCCTAGCACAGGGCTCCTGCCCTCATCTACTTACAAGAGGGTCTCCCTAACCCTCTTGTGAGCTGCATGGGGACCAGGATCATATGTTTGTCATCTTTATACCCCTGCCCAGTGTGCTCGGAACATGGTTGGAGCTTCATCAGTCTCTCCAGAATGAATAAATGAATGACCATCACTCCCCTTAATGCATAGCCTCAGATAACCCACAGGCCAAGTCACCCTCCCAAAACCTGCCAAAGGGCTCTCCTGGGCTGTCACCCTGCTCAGGGGAATCTTGTCCTGGTATGACATTTATCGGGGGCCACCCAAGGAATTCAGCACCAGAGCACCTAAGGCCAGGAAGGGGCTTTGCAGATAAAGAGTCCTCTCCCCTGGGTGACTGTTCAAGGCCACCCAGCAGCCACTTACCAGGAGGAGAGACACACCTATAATCCCAGGCATTTGAGGAGTCCTGAAGCTGAGGCAACTCCCAGCAAACCTCTAAGAGCTGATCTCTCTGGCCCCTTCAGAATTCTGGGCATATGCAGGGCACCCCCAAGTTCCTGTCCCTGCCTCCCCTATGCTCCCCAGAAGCTACCACCCACCCGGCTGGTGCATACCTTGCGCTTCTTGGCACGTCCCTCGGCCTGCAGGGTGCGGGTGCAGCGCTGCACACACTCGGAGAAGCTGAGGTTGCTGTGGTCGGCACTGTAGTCGAGGTCAGCCAGCCGCGCCAGGGACAGGATGTAGTTACAGGCGATCCTCAGGATGGCCAGTTTGGACAGCTTCTGCCCATACGAGTAGCACGGCACCTGAGGGGAGAAAGTGTCAGGAAGGGCTGCAGGGGCGTGGTGCCCAGCCTGGCAGGCATGGGAGGCGGCCTGTCTACGGTATATCTGGGCCCTTCACCTTGGTCTTGTGATCTGCTCTATGCACCTGCTGTTTACACACACACATACACACACACATTGGCTCGTCTGCTCTGAGAGGTACCCACATTCCCATTTTGCAGGGGAAGAAACAGGTTCGGCTCATGCCTGCCAGCCAGTCAGTATGAATCGAAGCTCAGTGAATTTCCACAACCACCACGGAGCTCTGTCCTCCACCCTCCTGAGCAGGAATCTCTCTGAGAGAACAGGCATTTTGTTTTTTCAGCTCTGATGTTCCCTTCATTCATTCAGCAACACCTGTTTTGCTGGACACTTGGGGAGTACAACAGTGAATAACTTGATTCCTACTTCAGAGAACTTATGCTTGAGTGAGGTTATAATGTCACACCTGGGACTCTGGGGACATACGGGAAGGAAAGTGTCAGTGCTCAGCTGGAAAGACACAAGCATGGCTGGTTTTCATTTTTTAAAAATCTTTTACTCTGTGCCCTGAGGACTTGGGGTGCTGCTGGGCAGACAACAGCGGCATAATACACACTCACGGCACCGAACAAATTTGACACGTTTGTCAATGATTCGTCACCAACTAGCTCCTCACTAATTGCACAGGGATTTGTATGGGGTGAAAGATGGAGCCTTTGATTTTTTAATACCTCTCTCCACCAATATTCGAGCTGCATGAGCAAAAAGCTCCAAAGACTGCGGTACACTTGAACAGAGTTCTGTCTTGGAACCTGGAAATAGCTCCACAAAATCAACCTGATAGATGCTAACTAATAGACCCCACTGTTCCTATAATGCACTGTTCACCTAAAGGGCTAAAAACCCAGCAACTATGGCTCCTGGTTTTCTCCTCGCTATGGCTCTTCAGGATCTACCCGTGTCATCCATATCATTGATGAACCCGTATCCCACAGGGGGTGGGACGGCACGATGCATCTACACAAGTATTTAGTGAGCGCCCACCATATGCCAGGCATTCTTTCAGGCCAGTGATTCTCAACCAGGGATGATTTTGTCCCCTAAGGACAGGGGAGTGGGGGCATTGCAGGGACGGAGGTGGGGACGTTGCTAAACATCCCACAGTGCATAGGATCCTACAGTGCCCCCACAACAGAGAACTACCTGCCCCCAAATGTCAGTAGTGCCAAAGATGGAAATCCCTATTCCAGAGCATGGAGAAAAAGCATGAACAAGACAGTCACCCCAGACTGGGGACCCTAAACACATCACCCACTTTGATCTCACTTTAAACCTCACTGTGTCCAAGAGCTTTCCCTGACCTCCCCTACCCTACACCAGGAGGGACAGCTTGCCCTCAATAGTGCCCTAATAGCACCCCATCTGTCCTTAACTGCCCACACTGTGGATCTTGAGTGCTCAGTCTCCCTATGAACTGTGCGGGGAAGGCCTATGTCTGCAGAGGCTAGCACAGGTCCTGCCCGTAACAGGCCCTCAAAGGGGTTTGTTGATTGAGGCAATGAGTAAACAAATCAATGACCTCTCCCTCTGGATCTTCACTCTAGAATATTTTGAACTGGGCTCAAACACCTTTCCTCTCTCTGATGGTGAAGATGAAGCTATCTGGCATAAAGCTAAGTGTATCTTTTTGTCACATGGGTTTAACTCCTGGCTCTAGCTCTGTCTAGCTGTAACACTCTGGGCAAGGGACAGAATCTTTCTAAGCCTCGGTTTCCCTGTCATATCGGGAACAGGACTGACCTCACAAGGTGGTGAGGATTAAATGAGATGAGATGTGTGCATTGCATGGAGTAAGGCCTGATAGAGGTCTGTGAAAGTGTTATGGTTGGTTTTGCAGAAGGTCCTCAAAGAGGGGCTCCGGAGGGGGTGAGAAGCAGGAGGTCTGGAGCCAGGACACGTGCCTGCCCCACCCTCCACCCTCTGGGGGTGCTGAGACTAGGAAACCCAGAGAGGGAGAGGAAGGCAACAGAGAGAGCCAATTCCCATGCATTTCCACCCCTCACCCCATCTCCCACTCCCAGGCCTGGCTGCAGCTCCAAACCCATCCCAGAAATGCTGGCAGAACAATGCACTTTGCTCGTTCCCAGCCAGAGTCCAGGGAATTCTGCTTTATCAGCCTGAACAAATAAACAAGGTCTGGTAGTCCTGGGGCAGGGAAGGGGGTCTCAGGGGCCAGCCAGCACTTCTGCCTCCTCTTCACCCCAGGGAGGGTGTGGCAGCCTGAGGGAGGCTCTGGGGACTGGGTGCAGCTCTGTGACACAGCCCTCAGCACTGTTTTCACACAGACGCCACGCTAGGAGTTTCCCTTAAAGACCCAGCTCTTTGAGCCCTTGGCCTGTAACAGCTGGGCTTCCAGGAGGGAGCAGGGATTTTGGAAGGGATCTGTACCCTGTGATCCAGGGTCACTGTAGGACCCCAAAGTGACAGCTGAGGCCAAGGCCAATCTAGAGGTCCCCATGCCAGGTTCTGGGACAGTTCTGTCCTAGGTATGTCACTTTGCCCTATTGTCTCTGTCAAGCTCTAGATCTAACAAGAAGAAACCCATCCATTGAGCTCTTGTATATCTGACACTGTGGAAGCTATTTACAGGTAGTATTAGCCCATTTAAAACCTTCCCCACCATCTGTACACACAAAAACAGAGAGATGACATATTGGGCCCCAGATCACTCAGCTAAGACCTGGCTGGAGTCAGAAACTCGTCTGACTGACACCAGGCACACAGCCACTAGGCTCTCCCAGCTCCCACACCACACCAGAGGTAGCCGCATACGGGACACCAAAGGCCTCTTTCAGGTTACTCACCTCTCCTCCTCCCCAACCCCTAGGGGCAGCTCCTCACCACCTGGCCAATTCCAGATCCTCCTGCTGCCCAGGCTCCAGGATGCAGCCCCTCAGCCCCCAACAGCCCAGCTCAGAGGCACCCCAGACTGGGCTGCCACTGCAAAGTGAGAATTTAGCACCCGTTCTGGTTCTAGGATGTTGAAGTATGGTGGAAAGAGCTGGTCTGAATTCCAGGCACTTACAAGTGGTGTAGCTGTGGGAAGTGCCTTCACGCCTCAGAGTCTCCGTTTCCTCATCTGGAGAGTCGGGGTAGCAATGCCTGGGCAGCCCACAGAGCTTCGAGGACTATATCAAGCAGCTTCCACTGGAGTCTGAGCAGCATAGATTCTCCGTGACTGTTGGGCCCAGGCCACTTTGCTGTTATTACGGTCTACTAAGGCCAGGCAAAGGGTGGATGTTTCAAATACAATGTCTGTATTCATCTTTTAAGCAGCCCAATGAGGTAGCAATGGCCACTTCCACTTTACAGAAAAGCGTGTGATTCTCAGGCATGTAGGAATTTCCTGGATCTCTCAGCTGGTGAGTGATGAACTGGGTTTTGAACTTGTGGCTTAGCTGGGCTCTTTCCAGTTAGCCGCAGGAACTGCTTGGGGATCTGAATAAGTGTCTATAGCTTAAGATGGGGAGGTAGGCAGCCCACCCTCCTGAGCTAGGGATGGAGAGTTCTGGGCTGATGATGCCATGAGATCCCTCTTAGAGTATCCACAGCAAGGCCCAGAGACCACCCACCCCCACCGCCTACAGAGTCCCCCACAGCAGTTGTCGGCTCACCCTGCTCAGAGGACACGGGCCAAGGGAGGAGGCAGAATTACCTGGCTCCCACTCCCGACAGACTGCCCAACTGCCAGGAAAGTAAAAGGATCTGCCTTGTGCTCATCCACAAGGATTTTTAAACTTTGGTGGAACAGACTTTGGCATTTTCGCAAGGTCCCATATGCCCCCAAAACATTCCACCCCACCCACCCTAAGCCGGACCCAGTTCCAGCAAGCATGAAAAAACATGAAGAGCACTGGCCTGGGAGCCCGAAGGCCTGACTCTACTACTGGCCAGTCAGGTGACCTTAGGCAGATCCATAAGCTTACAGGACCTCAGTTTCCTCACCAGTAAAATGGGCATTAGAACACCTGCTACCTCAGAATGAGATCGCAGGGGCAAATGAGGGAAAAGTTCCTACACCTGCTACCTCAGAATGAGATCGCAGGGGCAAATGAGGGAAAAGTTCCTAAAGAAGCAACGCTGAGAACCACCAGAGAATGCAGGAAAGGCCTCAAAGCCCTCTATGCTCTTGCTTCTGTGCCAACTCCTGCCCACCCTTCAGACCCAGCCCAAGACGCCCTCCTGGAAGCCCACCAAGACTCCTGAGCCCATAGAGCTCCAACAGCACCACATCCACTACACACAGAAGAGCACCGGATTCCAGTGAAATGATCATCTGATCGTCTCGTGTCAGTGAGTGCTGGATTCCCGACGTGAAGCCACTCTACCCAGAGCTGTTCAACGTCCTTCCCAAAGTCTATCTAAATAGGTCCTTTAAAATCCCAACCTCCTGCACTGCCACCAGGCTGGACCCTGAGAACCTGGGTCTTGGTCGTTAGGAGCTATGGCCCCAGGGCCAGACAGGCCTGAGTACAGATCCTGGTCACACTGTGGGCTTGAGCAATCTGCGTCACCTCTCTGTAAGTGTCTTCATCTGTAAAATGGGAAGACAGCACAACGGACACCCCACAGCAGGCTCAGGTAAGGCCTCATTCAGTGCAGTGAGGCTCCACAGCAGCCACCCTGGTGACTGCGGACATGAAGGAACAGGAGGAAGGCCTCTGTCACCCTTACCTACCTGCATGGAGCCCCCAGTACAAGCAGGCCTGTCCCTCGTTGCCCGAGGGGATGGTGCACAGGCTGCTTTGCACTCCCCATGCCCTCCTTGCACCCTGTGGGGTTTCAGAGTGAGGGAGGTGCTGAGAGCACCATTCCCACGCTCCCTCCAGGGCAACCCTGACTTCACTCGATAAGGACCCCCTGGGAGGCTCCAGGGGCAGCAGGGGAGGTAGCCTGGGTCCCAGTTGCTTGGCATGTCCTCCGTGGAGAGGACCACGGCAGAAACCGGGGCCCCGCACTGCCTTCCATTGCTGCCATCTTCCATCAACACTGAGGGGCTTTGAGGGGAGAGAGGAAATCCACACGCACACCACACGCCCCAAGGGTAGGCACAGCTTGTGAGACAGAAGGTCCTGCCACTCTGGCCCCTTCCCTCACCACCCCACAAGGCCGGCCTTTCCCTTTCACCCCTCCCACCTGGCAGGGAGCGGCCCCACTCCCGGGCCAGGCCAGCTGTGCACACATGGCCTTCCATGAGGCGATGGGGAGGGTTCTGGTGCAGCTGTGCTGGTGGCATGTGCTATGGCCTGACCATCTGCCCCACACCACCCAGCCTAGACCAGACCAGAGGGCTTCTCTCTCTCTCACCTGCACCTCCCCACCTGCAGCCCTGCAGCCACCCTCCCTGCTCCCTTCCTGGTTGAGAGGACGGTGGATTATGACACAGTAGGAGCCTGTCTGGCTTCCTCATGCTGAGGGTAGATGGTTCCAGGACATTAGACAGGCTGAGGAGCAGAGCTGTTAGGAGTCGGGGCCCTGGGAGTCCAACCCAAGCTCCACAGTAACAGTGGCCCACAACTATGCAGGCTGCCACCGTACATGGCCACGAAGCACCGCCACCCTGGAGTCTGGCAAACGGTGTGCCAAGGTAGCGTGTAGCACAAAACCCACAAGGCCATGTGCAGTGGCAACAGACCGGGACAACTTACATAAGCTCTCTGAAACTCAGTCACCATCTGTAAAACAGAGCAGGAGGTGCGATAACAGTATCTATTTCATTAAATGAACTAATACACATAACAAGCTTAGCACTACGCCTGGTACAAAGTAGGAATGAGCTAAATGCTAGTTTCTGTGACAGTTATTAAAATAATTAAAGAATTCTTATTGCTTCATCTGTCAAGAGCCTTGCCCAGCCCTGAGGACCGTGGAGATGCTTAAGAAATGTTCACTGCTCTGGCTGTGCACAATGGCTCATGCCTGTAATCCTAGCACTTTGGGAGACCGAGGTGGGTGGACCACCTGAGCTCAGGAGTTCGAGGCCAGCCTGGGCAACATGGTGAAACCCCATCCCTACTAAAATACAAAAAATTACCCAGGTATGGTGGTGTGCGCCTGTAATCCCAGCTACTTGGGAGGCTGAGGTGGAAGAATCACATGAACCAGCCTGGGCAACAGAGAGAGACTCTGTCAAGAAAGAAAGAGAGAAAGAGAGAAGGAAGGAAGGAAGGAAGGAAGGAAGGAAGGAAGGAACTCTGTCAAGAAAGAAAAGAGAGGAAAGAGAGAAGGAAGGAAGGAAGGAAGGAAGGGAAGAAGGAAGGAAGGAAGGAAGGGAAGTGAAGGAAGTGGGAAGGAAGGAAGGAAGGAAGGGAGGGAGGGAGGGAGGGAGGGAGGGAGGGAGGGAGGGAGGAGGGAGGGAGGGAGGGAGGAAATGTTCACTGCTCTTATAGGCCTCCTTCCTTTCCTCACTTGCTCTTGCTTTTCTAAACACTGTGGATAAGGTCAGCAATATTACCATTTTACAACTTCAGCAACTGAGGCCCAGAAAGGGTCAGTGACTTGTCCACAGCCACACAGAAGGCATGCAGGGGAGGACAACTCAATGCCTGGCCTCCAATTTCCCAGGTCAGTGCTTCCTTCATGGTACCAGGAAGCTACTCAGGAGAATGAAGCCCCAGGCCAGAGCCACAATCCCAGAACCCATCTTGGTGCCACACTGGCCAAGGTCCCATTTCAGGCAGAGCTGATCTGCCTTTCCCATTTCCAAGGACCCATTTCAGTCAGGCCCGAGCCTAGCTCCAGAGCTGCAGCTTGTCTGGATTGGGCGAGGGGGTGAGGAATACATTTTACCCAGAAGACTGAGGCCCAGAGGAGGAAGGGGCTCCTCCAGAACACAGGTCTTCCTCTATCAAATAGGTGCCATGGTGGTGAGGGGGACATGGTGGGTGCGGCCTTGGCCCCTGGCTCTATGACCAGAAACATCCTGGCTGTATTTCTTTCCTTCCTAGCTAACAGGCAGGTGCCATTATGGCCTGGCAGCCTTTCTAGGGAAGGGGCAGAATGGCTGGGGCAAGGAGGAAACAAACAGGAACAGGCACTTCTGTGACCGTGTGTGCTCTTGAGCACGTGTAAGGAGCATGTGTGTGTGTACCTGCCTGTGTGTTTGCATTGCATACACACTCTCTCCCTGAGAGGGCATGAGCGTGCCTTCTGCTTAGATACACTGAACTTGCCCTTTTTATAGAGAACATCCCACGGTAATGGGGGAAGTAAAAGGAGACCACGATGAACAATCTCATCTCAAAGGGTCTGCCAAGTGTGCACCCTGCCTTGATTGTTAACAAACATCACAGGCTAGGGGTTGGGGAGTGATACGTGATGCTGATAAAGATGGCACTGTGGGAGGCATTTGGCCAGGAGGGCGTTCCAGAAACTGCTGTCATCTTCCCTAACCCACTAAGTGATCTTGGACAAGTCTCTTTCCATCTCTGGGCCTCAGTGTTCCATACTATAAAATGAGTTAATCCAATTTTGACAGGGATGTTGTTTAGATCAAATGAGATGGAATTGATTGTTGAACGAAGTAAAAGCCAGCGGGCACATAAGATGTAACAGAGCACTCAGATGAGTATTCTTTCAGCATACAGAGGGGCAACAGAGGGGCAGAAGGGCCCAGAACCTGCAGTCAAAGCCCCTAGTGCCAGCCCTGACCTGCTACTCAACAGCTATGAGGCTCTGGGCACGTGCCTCCCCAGTCTAGGAGAGGCTTCCCTAGTGGCAAGGTGGGCAGGTGGACAGGTATCTCTCTGCCCTTCTGTAATCCTTCTGTCCTGGGGAGTGGGTGGCAGGATCCCCCATGCACTGCCACCTCTACCCAGCGATGCAGACACAGAGCTGCTGGCTCAGGGTGGGACTGACTGCTCCACTGGGCCCACTGCCCAGGGTTCCAGCTGGTATGGCTGAGGGCAGAGGCCCAGCCTGGTCTGTGACAGCCACTCGTCCCCCACCCCCACCCAATCTCACTCACCACTTTCCCCAAGCCCAAGCAAGACACTTTGGCTCAGAAGTCATATGGCCTCTTTCCTCCAGGGATTCAATTTCCTTTCCATGGATGGACACAGGCACTACTGCCCCACCCCACCCCAACCCCCAGGAGGAAGAGGAGAGTGATCCAAAAAGAAGATCATGGTTTCTGAAATGTTTTGTTGCTGGCTAAAGACCAGAGAAGTTGAGCAACATTCCTGGAGTCACACAGCAAGTCAGCTGCAGAGCATGCAAAGAAAAAGGGGGGAAAAAAAAACAAAAAACAAAAAAACACCCTTCAAACCAGCCACATCTACCCTAACCCTTCCCCACGCCCTGTGTAGGGGTGGGAGAGAACTCACCACCTCCTTCCTACAGCTCCTTCTCGCTAAGAAAATAAGAAGCCTAGAAGCCCAAGCAACTGTCCCGCCCCATCACGGGTAATTCTTGGGTTAAGTATTCTTCCACTACCTGCGCAGGGGCACTGTCTGGTGAGGGCAGCCCGCACCAGTTCCAAACTAAAAAGTCCCCAACTCACCCCAGAACTAGGCTCTGAAGATGCCCCAGAGGGAATCCCCCAACTAGGCAGTCCCCTCAGCAGAGCTGCCTGCTTCACCACGGGTGAAAGGAAGGGATCTCCTAGAAAGACTCCCACCAGCCCATTCCTGAGCCCAACCCTGGGGAGAGGGCACAGGCTTGTAGTGCGGGTTCTTGAGGATGCCAGGGCAAGGAGTGCACAGCCCGCAAGCAACCTGAGTGTTCGGGACATCACTGCTGGGTCCTGAAGAGGGGCTGACAAGTGCCCCCGGACTGTCCCACCGCAGCATTCCGGGACTTGCCACCACCAACGGGGGGCCAAGACCCTGACCATGCCAAATGCCTGGAGAAGGCTCCCCCTCTTCCTGCCCTGACCAAGACAGATTCCCACATGTCCCCTCTCCACTCCGCACCGCGCCCAGGGGACTCCGGCAGGCAAATACTCGCTGCCATAAAAGTGAACTATAGAGGCTGAAGTTAGACGCGCAGACAGCGTTACCCGAGGCGGGGGTTGAGGGTGGAGGGTGCTCTGGCCAGAGATACCCAACTTTTATAGCCACTTTGAAAACTATGATCCATACCAACGCTGTGGCAAAGTCACTGCCCCAGGACTGCCCACACCTGTCTGGGCACCACTGTCGGACCGGGAGGGGCAGCCTGCCCTTTAAACACACCTCCATCCCGCCTGGGCCACTCGCCCACCCATTCCCTCAGTCGTCCCCGGGTGCAGTGAGGGCGTGCGGCGGGGAGCGGGTACCTGCTTCCTGAGCGCCTCGAAGGCTGCGCTGATGGTGTGCACCCTCGTCCGCTCCCTGGCGTTAGCCAGGAGCCTCCGGGTCTGCTGCAGGGCTTTGATCTCGGAGGAGGCGGCAGTCGCTTCTCCAGGTCGTTTCCTAGGCGACGCGGAGGAATCCGGGTGGTTATTGTAAATTACGTGTGAAATTGACGAGTAGGAACTTTCCCCCGGGCGCGTTGGGGGCGCTGGGCGCACAGTGGACTCCGGGGGCGCTTGCGGCGCTGGGGGCGCTGACGGCGCGGGGCGCGCGGGCGGTGCGCACAGCAAGATGCGAGGACGCAGACCCGGCTCCCGGAAAGGCTGTGCCTCTGGGCCCCCAGGAGCCTGGCTCTGGGGCGCAGGAGGCGGCGGCGGCGGCGGCGGCGGTGGCGGCGGCGGCGGCGGCGGCGTGGGGAGTCCTGGCCCCACTGCGCCCAGGGCGAAGCCGCGTTTCCGCGCGTCGGAGACCTCGGGCACCCGGGAGCCCCCGCGCTCCCGGGCAGTGTCCGCGCCCCCTCTTGGGGGAACGGCCGGGGCCACTGGGGCTGGCACCGGCACCGGGACCGGGACCGGCTGCAGCCGATGGGTCCTGTCCCGCAGCCCGTTGGTGGCGACTGCGCGGGGCTCGGGCGCTTCCAAGTCCAATCGGAAAGTTTTATAGCCGTTCGCGCGCCGCGCCGGCTCCTTGCCTTTCCGCTTGAGCTTCTTGAGGCCGTTCAGCTCCTTCACGCACACGGTCTTCCATGGCCCGTCCTCGAGGACCGGGATGTGCTTCATGGCGCGGGCGGCGCGCGAGGCAGGAGCGTGGGGCTGCCCGGGCCGCCGCCGCGCTCAGCGCCGAGGAGTCTCTGGCTCTCCCCCTTCGCCCGCCCTCCCCTCCCTCTCCCTTTCTCCCCCTCGCCCGGGGCAGCTGCGCCGCCGGCTTCGCGAAGCCGCCGGGCTGTCCGTTCCCGGAGCGCTCAGAGTGTCATCTGAAGTCGCTGCCGCCTTGCCAGCATTTCTGGAGAACGCCCGCTGCGCTCCATCTGTGTTTGTTTAGCCTCAGTTTACACAGAAGCCCAGTTCGCGAGATCAGTCAGCGCCGCCGCCCGGAGAGGAGGCAGCTCCCGCCGCCACCGCCTCCCCAGCCCCGGCCGCCCGAGCCGCGAGCGCCTTTAAAGAAACAGGAAGCATTTTTCAAAACAGCTGGGCCGCCGGCCGCCTCCTTTGTCCGCGTGCTCCCTACCTCCCCCCACCCCCATCCCCTTGGCCCAGAACCTGCCTCCTCGGCTCTCCCTCCCCGCCCCTACTCAAGTCGGGGGCGCTTCTATGTTCCCAAAGGACAGTCCGCTTCTTCACAACAGCCCCGAGCACGTGACTTATGGGCCCCCCGGCCCTTCCCCAAATCACAGCGGGGCCTTCTCTCCCTGGCCTTGCAGGCCTCTCGGTGACGCAGCTCCGACCTTGCCCACCCGGCACCTTCCCGCCACTCCCTCCGCCCCAACTCTCCGAGAGACAGAAAACGCCGGGAGCTGGGACTTCTGCTGCGGGCCGATGGGGAAGGGGAGACTCCGGAGTTGCCCGGCGACCCGCACCCGCCAGGCACGGCAACCCAGTCCACTCTCACTTGCTGGAGCGGGGAAGCAAGAGGAGCAGAGGGCTTAAGACAGGGAAACTGAGTCTCCGAAAGTTCCAAAGTCACAGAGGCAGAGGAGGGTGGAAGCTTCGGTTTAGGCAGACCTAACGTCTGCGAGCCTCTGCAGTCACCTCATTCCAGGCGCCCTGCTAAGCCGGGATTTACTCATCTATGAAATGAGAAATTCGGACAACATCAACGCCTAAATCATAGCATTGCTCTGAGGAATTAAAGCACTAGGCACATAGGAAGGGGTCGTCAAATGGTAGCTGTCATTATTATTATTATTTATCGAGGCAAAACAGCTACTTGAGGCAGATTTCCTGGGCCCAAACCCCAGCTCTGCCACTCACTGCATGACCTTGGAAAAGTGACTTAACCACTCTGTGCCTCACTTTCCTTACCTGTAAAACGAGGGTTATAATCGTACCTGCCTCCCCAGGCGGTGTGAAGAGCGTGTATGCGCAAGGCACTCAGAGCAGTGCCTGGCACCAGGCGAGAGCTTTGCTGGTGCCCACGGTTATTGGCAAGGCACAGAGGTCGACCCCCCAGACCCTCAGTGCTCTCTGTGCCATTCCACTGGAGATTCTGGAAAGAAGGGGTCAAACTAGTAGGCCCTCGCCAGAGGACCACCTCCCAGCCACTCCCTTTGGAGGCTCAGAAGAGGGCTTCACTCCTTGCTGGTCCCTTCTCTGTGGCTGTTGCTCCTTTAGGAAGGTGGGCACTAAAAGCCAGCAAAGTGGTTAGGGAGAAGATGAACTGTCAACCCTGGCCTTGAACTCCGATGGAAACACAAGGGCTCACACAGTGCTTCTCTCCTCCATGGGAGAATGCCTAGGGGTTGAGGAGGCAGATGGCATGCAGGGTACTGGGAGTTGGGATGGGGATCTGGGCAAAGCTTCGGGGGCAGGAGCATGCAGCTGGGGCCGGCAGTCCTGGTTGGGCCTTGGCTTTTCAACTGTGGAGCCCCGTGACCAAGAGCAAGACGTTTCCTCCCACTTTTCTGTCTTTGAGGATATTTCTGTCCGGCCAACCTTCTCAGGGTAGCTGGGAAAGGACAAAGAGATCATGAATGTCAAAGGACTTTGACATAAGGCTTCAAACATAGACACACACACACCCACACACACACACACACACACACACGCTGAGGCACGTGGTTTTCTGACTGTAGTAAATGCAAATATCATTTTGCTACCAAGGTGGGTGCCAGCATCATAAAGCATGTGCTCCCAGAGACACCCTCTTCCCTGGACACCTGCATATTCCTGCACCTTATCTAAAGTCCTGGTTTTTGCTCCCAGCTCTCCTCCACAGCTCCCCTTTGCAAAGCACACTCTTCCTCACCCTTCCATGATCAGCTCCAGTCCCCCTCCTCCTGCGAACCTTCCCTGCTCACTACAGTCTCCAATTGCTCTTGCTGGCATCTGCGCATGCTTGCTCAAAAGTCCTGCTGCAACTTCGCTTCCACTGCAGCCCTGTTGGAACTCCTGGGCTTGTGCGTTCCTCAAAGGTGCACTCTTGCCTTCCTCCCTGTCTCTAAGGGCTGGTGCTCAGAAAGCCTCTGATGAGGACAAGCAGCCCTCATGCCCTTTACAGTCCTGTCTGGAGACCCAGTCCTCCTGTGCATCCAGCCAGTCAGCGGCAGAGATGGAGGAAAAGCGACACTCCTCCTCCAGGGCTGCTCAGGCACTCTCTGAGCTTCAGTATCTTCCTCTGTAAAATGGGAGTCATGATACCATGCCTCACAGAGCTGCAAGGACTCAAAGACGCTGCATGCGCAGCATGTGGCATGATGCCTGGAGTCTGGGAAATGGTGACCTGGGGCATCCTGGGTTAGCCAGCTGCTCAGGCCCCCTTGCATCCCAGACTTGGGTGTAGTTGAAGACTGGAGTACCCATGGCTAGTTAGGGGGTGTGAGAAGTCTCTAGCAGGACTGAATTTTGTCCTTAAAGAGGCCAAGCTGTGTCTGGGAAAATCACATCTTGGCTGAATACCAAGGGATCCACTCATACTGATCCTGAGCCCTGTGCCAACTTTCCCCAAATAGGGGAAAAGGTCACTGAGATCCCCTGGGGCAGGAGGAGGAGAAGGGATTGGATAGGAATGATCAGGCATGCAGGGTGGAGGTAGAGCAGGGCTCCAAGCCGGGCTACAGGCTCCCAGACAGGCTCTTTCTCCCCAACATGCTGCCTCTCCCGCTGGCCAAATGCCAGGGCCCCAGAGTTGGCAACAGCCAAGCCCAGAGGGATCTTCACCTTGTCACATACCAGGTGTGTGACCTTGAGCAGCTCCCTGACTTCTCTGAGCCTCTGTTCACTATCTGAGCATCATCTCTTGAGTCTCGAGATGGAATGGTGTGTGTGGGAACAGGCGGCAAATTGTAAAGAGGCCAATTCACGTGGAGTCCCCGCTATTGCCACTGTCAGCCTGCCAGGTTGCAGACCTTCCAAGTCCAGGCTGGCTACCCACGCCCCACCAGCCTAAGGGTCAAACCTGTCTTCCAAGGGCTCTTGCTTCTGCCTTCCTCAGCCTTGTTGGAAATTGGGGCAGAGACCAGCTGGGCAGCACCCCCTGGTGGTATCACACTATTGGGACTGCACACAACACTACAGTCTCCCCATAAGGAACTTGTGCCCATTGTGGTGGCCCTGTAATGACAGTAATGTGGATTTCAGGAATTCATAGACTTTCCAGGATAAAAAGTCTCCCAAGGCTCCAGGTGGCCCTACTCACACCTTTGGATGGGACAACGCAGACGACACCCTATGCCCTTCATTAAAAACATCACCCACTGAATTAACCGTTTGAGGTGACCCTGGGATCGAGTGATGCTGTCACTGGAAGATTCCATACCCCTTGGATGGCAGGTCTAGGGAAAAGTAATAAAGATAAAAAGGGAAGGCAAGGCAAGAGCTTAGGGGTCAGGCCACTGGGAGCAGATGCTAGAAAGCCAGGCAGTCGTAATTCTTTAATACTGCCATGCAAGGAGCGCATACGATCTCTGTCTCACTAATCTTTATCATCACCCAGGGAAGTAAACCCACTTTATAGATAAGGAGATTAAGGCTCCTAGTGGGGGAAAAAACATCTTGCCAACAGAAAGAACAGTCGTGGGATTTGAACCCAGGCCAACTGACCCCAAAAGCCAAGCTCTGAACCACTGTGTCCGCTGCCTCCTGAGAGCTCAGCGACTAGCATCTGGGAGGTGATAACTGAGCCATCTATGGAGCTGGCCTGTGTCAGCCAGCTCTTCCTGCTGTGCTGCCAGCCTGGTGGGCTTCTTGCTGTTCACCTCTCAGCTGGAGCCACTGGCCTCCCTTGGTGCAGCACAATGCCATTCTAGCTCCTTCTAGTCAGGGTCAGATGACAAGGGCATATAGAGCCCAGATCTTGGTATCCAGGCACTGGGGCCCTCCCTCCTTGCCAGTGGAACATGCCCAGCATTTCCTTGGTGCACACACCACCCGAGTGCAGACAGGACAGCCCTGCAGGGTGGCAGCCAGTGATTAGCTGCTTCTTGGCCGGATGGGATGGAACCTTGGATGCTTGCTACATGAAGCTCTGCATTCCTAAATCTGGAGTCCCTATTTATGGCTGTTCAGATTGTTCCAAAGTAGGTGTGGCACCCATAAGAGAAAGAGAGGAAGAGTGGAAATTAGACTGCCAGGAGGAAACTCTCCTGGTGGAAACAGACACAGTATGAATGGTGCCCCCCTGGGGTGGTACTCACAGCAGCACCAGAAAGCGCCACCCAGGAGAATAAGAAGAATCCAGAGCTTCTTCCCACCTCCCATTCACGGTGCTAGCACTGCCACCATTAACCAGCAGGACATTGGATCCAGAGGACAGTGATGAGGCATCCAGGCAGGAAGCTCTTTCAGACTCTCCTGCAATCTTCCTTCTACCTTCCTCTATTCAAATGGCCATCCCAGTTATGGAAAACTGAGTCTTTGGGGCTGGGCAGATGCCAGATAAGGACACTCTCTCCCTGAGACCTGCTGTGTGCACCATCTCAGCACATGCACTGTATACCTTCAAACCCATGTGCAGAGGGCAGTGCCCAGCAGGTAGGGTTTAGTCCTGACTCTTGGTCAGAGTGGAAGGGGAGAGTGGGGAGGGGAAAAGGTCACGAGGGTTGTCAACAAAAAACAGGAGGAGCCTGGCATGACAGATCTCCACACCACTGGTCAGGTATCCTATCATGTCATTTCTCTGCTTAAAACCTC